AAAGACTACCAAAAAGGCTCGTGTAAATGAGATTTTAAAATATAGTTTGGTTGTACGTCCTTTGATCCTCATGAAATTTACATATAAGATGCTTGCAAATAATGCAATATTTAAAAATAGGTACTTAATATGATGGGACACCCAACTATTTGGTTCTTTTGTTGTAATGTTAGGTTTATAATGCCCACAAATTAATACAATATAGGAATAATTTGCTTTCCAAGTAATGTTAAATACAATACTGACATTTTTTTGTTTAATGTTTGTTTAATAAAAATGTGGTTACAATTAACTTTACATTTATCTAATGTGCGTGGATTAAAAAGTAACGTCTATGAAAAAGTAGCTAAAATTGTAGCTGTAGCTACATTTCAATGTAGGCCTAGCTGTAGTTGTAGCTAACTGCTTTTTTGAAAATGTAGCAGTAGTTGTACTAGTTGTAGCTAGCTACATTTTAAAAGTAGCTTCCCCAATACTGTTAATTCCTACAATGGATTCTGATTAGGCTACTTATTGTAAGAAAAAGTTAAAATACAGTAGTTACTTGCATTGTTTTGTTTGAACTTAAAATATCACTTCAACAGGCGTGCACAACACAATGTGAGGATATCCACTTACTTGAGATAGTGACATCTCAAATATAGGCATACACAATCTACCGAACATCACGAACAATTTGTAAGCTACACAATTAAGTTACATAATTAAAGCCACGGATACTTACACTGAACAATAATGCGTTTAACTTTTAGCGATTAAAAGAACGCACTATGCTAGAATACTATGAAAGCGTTGGTTATGAAAAGCAATAAATAGCGCATTAGCAGCCGTTGGCAAAACACCACGTGTTGACTTTGGTAATTATCAATTTAATGCATTATTTAAATTTGGCCTCAAGAAAATATTAAATTACCATAAATTTCTATTGCTGGCCTACCCCCTTGGTACGATTTCATTTTTTTCTTTTGAAATATGTTTATTACATTGTTATGAACTAGAAAACAAGTCGTTTATGTTCTAAGACTCATTTATAGTTGAAATATGTCACTTTGATTTTCACTGGTGTGACCTCGGTTCCATAAGAACCCAACTTACTAAAAATCGATTTTTTTCGTTTGTACATATTAGTTACTTCTTCATAAAAAATATCTAACACCTTTTCGATAAAATTATCAGTAATTACCAATTTAATGCATTATTTAAAATGTCCCTCAAAAAATAATAAATTAGGCTACCATAAACTTCTAATGCTAGCCTATCCCCTTGACATGATTTTCTTTTTTTTCTTTTGAAATATGTTAATTACATTGTTATAAACTTAAAAACATGGCGCTTATGTCCGTCTACTCATTTATAGTTGAGATAAGTCATATTGAATTTAACTGGAAATTTTGAACTTTGAATTTTTTTGAGCGGGGGTGGTTTGACTTTGAATCCGTAAAAACCCAAGTTACTTAATATACAAGAATCCAATGTCATTCGGTTCCATGATTAATTTTATGGACAATAATTAATTTATTTTAATAAATTTATTTTTACTATAGCTATGTTCTGTTGATTTAGGTGCTCGTCTGACTTCGGTTGCATGACGACGCTACATTAAACCAATTAATGTTGCATGACTTAGGCTAAACATGTATTTTTGTTGGTAATAAACTAAACCTATAACATTTTAGGGGATTTAAGTAATAATTTCTTCGATTTTATAGTGTTTTTTTAATTAAATGGAAATAAAAAAAAATATATAATAAATTTCTAAAAATACAATATAACACACAGAAAATATATCTACACTCCTGGTGGGACAGGCTCATTATGTTGAGCGGGTTGAGGGGGATGTCCCTGGCGAGGCATCACGTCAGGGGCTCGATGGGTTAAGTTCTGATGCTGGAGAATGATGTAGTGGTGCAGTGGGAGTTTTTGAGGGATTTGTTGAGGGGCTTGGGGGAGTAACAGGCTTGTTGATGTTGGTTGTATTGGGTGACGGGAAACTTGATTAAAAAAATGTGGATGGTACAATGGGAAAATGGTATTATGAGGCGGAATGAGGTATTGGAGTGAGGTTTGGTGGTTAAAATAATTGGGAGGAGGGAATATGCCAGGGTAGGAGTGTTGTGGTAGTACCGGGTGTCGTTGTGGTAGGCCTAGTGCGGAAGTTTGTTGAAGTAGTTGTTGTTGAGGTGGGGGTGGTGGCGGTTGTTGTTGAGGTGGGTGTGGTGGTGGTGGTTGTTAAGGTGGGGGAGGTGGTGGTTGTTGAGCCGGGGGTGTTGGTGTGAGTGAAGGTAGTTGTGGTGGTGGTGTTGGTGGGATGGATGGTGATCGTCTGGGTCTCCTAGGTGGTCCCCTCGACCCCCGATTGCCTGAGCCCCTCCTGCACACCCCTAGTGCACCGTAGTCTAGATGGCTTGTTTTCATACATGTATTTCCTACATTCTCTTGTTTGGCGTACGTTTGTTTTTTAATGTCTAAACCGACATGGCAAGACCCATGTTAAGTTTTAAGTTTACCTTATGACATTGTAACGCAATACATGGAATTTTGAAATAAACCAACAAAAATACTATCCTAATATTCAGATAAGTAGCAGTTGATTAACAACTTACGCAGTAGGCCACCGACCAATCCATGGGACTCGGGCAGCGACGCCCCGCATCATTCTACAGAATTCGATGCTGGACCCACCCCTGCCCGAAGATGGGATCAACATGGTCAACCTGATGCTGAAATCCATATCAACCTGAAAATTTGTCTGTGTTACTCAAGGTCCCACTATAACATCATAAATCTGTCATGCAAATGTTCCAGACATGCTTCTGTTATCAGATGGTGATGTAGATGTCATTGAAGTGTCTTAAAAAAAGACTACCAAAAAGGCTCGTGTAAATGAGATTTTAAAATATAGTTTGGTTGTACGTCCTTTGATCCTCATGAAATTTACATATAAGATGCTTGCAAATAATGCAATATTTAAAAATAGGTACTTAATATGATGGGACACCCAACTATTTGGTTCTTTTGTTGTAATGTTAGGTTTATAATGCCCACAAATTAATACAATATAGGAATAATTTGCTTTCCAAGTAATGTTAAATACAATACTGACATTTTTTTGTTTAATGTTTGTTTAATAAAAATGTGGTTACGATTAACTTTACATTTATCTAATGTGCGTGGATTAAAAAGTAACGTCTATGAAAAAGTAGCTAAAATTGTAGCTGTAGCTACATTTCAATGTAGGCCTAGCTGTAGTTGTAGCTAACTACTTTTTTGAAAATGTAGCAGTAGTTGTACTAGTTGTAGCTAGCTACATTTTAAAAGTAGCTTCCCCAATACTGTTAATTCCTACAATGGATTCTGATTAGGCTACTTATTGTAAGAAAAAGTTAAAATACAGTAGTTACTTGCATTGTTTTGTTTGAACTTAAAATATCACTTCAACAGGCGTGCACAACACAATGTGAGGATATCCACTTACTTGAGATAGTGACATCTCAAATATAGGCATACACAATCTACCGAACATCACGAACAATTTGTAAGCTACACAATTAAGTTACATAATTAAAGCCACGGATACTTACACTGAACAATAATGCGTTTAACTTTTAGCGATTAAAAGAACGCACTATGCTAGAATACTATGAAAGCGTTGGTTATGAAAAGCAATAAATAGCGCATTAGCAGCCGTTGGCAAAACACCACGTGTTGACTTTGGTAATTATCAATTTAATGCATTATTTAAATTTGGCCTCAAGAAAATATTAAATTACCATAAATTTCTATTGCTGGCCTACCCCCTTGGTACGATTTCATTTTTTTCTTTTGAAATATGTTTATTACATTGTTATGAACTAGAAAACAAGTCGTTTATGTTCTAAGACTCATTTATAGTTGAAATATGTCACTTTGATTTTCACTGGTGTGACCTCGGTTCCATAAGAACCCAACTTACTAAAAATCGATTTTTTTCGTTTGTACATATTAGTTACTTCTTCATAAAAAATATCTAACACCTTTTCGATAAAATTATCAGTAATTACCAATTTAATGCATTATTTAAAATGTCCCTCAAAAAATAATAAATTAGGCTACCATAAACTTCTAATGCTAGCCTATCCCCTTGACATGATTTTCTTTTTTTTCTTTTGAAATATGTTAATTACATTGTTATAAACTTAAAAACATGGCGCTTATGTCCGTCTACTCATTTATAGTTGAGATAAGTCATATTGAATTTAACTGGAAATTTTGAACTTTGAATTTTTTTGAGCGGGGGTGGTTTGACTTTGAATCCGTAAAAACCCAAGTTACTTAATATACAAGAATCCAATGTCATTCGGTTCCATGATTAATTTTATGGACAATAATTAATTTATTTTAATAAATTTATTTTTACTATAGCTATGTTCTGTTGATTTAGGTGCTCGTCTGACTTCGGTTGCATGACGACGCTACATTAAACCAATTAATGTTGCATGACTTAGGCTAAACATGTATTTTTGTTGGTAATAAACTAAACCTAAAAAATTTTAGGGGATTTAAGTAATAATTTCTTCGATTTTATAGTGTTTTTTTAATTAAATGGAAATAAAAAATATATATAATAAATTTCTAAAAATACAATATAACACACAGAAAATATATCTACACTCCTGGTGGGACAGGCTCATTATGTTGAGCGGGTTGAGGGGGATGTCCCTGGCGAGGCATCACGTCAGGGGCTCGATGGGTTAAGTTCTGATGCTGGAGAATGATGTAGTGGTGCAGTGGGAGTTTTTGAGGGATTTGTTGAGGGGCTTGGGGGAGTAACAGGCTTGTTGATGTTGGTTGTATTGGGTGACGGGAAACTTGATTAAAAAAATGTGGATGGTACAATGGGAAAATGGTATTATGAGGCGGAATGAGGTATTGGAGTGAGGTTTGGTGGTTAAAATAATTGGGAGGAGGGAATATGCCAGGGTAGGAGTGTTGTGGTAGTACCGGGTGTCGTTGTGGTAGGCCTAGTGCGGAAGTTTGTTGAAGTAGTTGTTGTTGAGGTGGGGGTGGTGGCGGTTGTTGTTGAGGTGGGTGTGGTGGTGGTGGTTGTTAAGGTGGGGGAGGTGGTGGTTGTTGAGCCGGGGGTGTTGGTGTGAGTGAAGGTAGTTGTGGTGGTGGTGTTGGTGGGATGGATGGTGATCGTCTGGGTCTCCTAGGTGGTCCCCTCGACCCCCGATTGCCTGAGCCCCTCCTGCACACCCCTAGTGCACCGTAGTCTAGATGGCTTGTTTTCATACATGTATTTCCTACATTCTCTTGTTTGGCGTACGTTTGTTTTTTAATGTCTAAACCGACATGGCAAGACCCATGTTAAGTTTTAAGTTTACCTTATGACATTGTAACGCAATACATGGAATTTTGAAATAAACCAACAAAAATACTATCCTAATATTCAGATAAGTAGCAGTTGATTAACAACTTACGCAGTAGGCCACCGACCAATCCATGGGACTCGGGCAGCGACGCCCCGCATCATTCTACAGAATTCGATGCTGGACCCACCCCTGCCCGAAGATGGGATCAACATGGTCAACCTGATGCTGAAATCCATATCAACCTGAAAATTTGTCTGTGTTACTCAAGGTCCCACTATAACATCATAAATCTGTCATGCAAATGTTCCAGACATGCTTCTGTTATCAGATGGTGATGTAGATGTCATTGAAGTGTCTTAAAAAAAGACTACCAAAAAGGCTCGTGTAAATGAGATTTTAAAATATAGTTTGGTTGTACGTCCTTTGATCCTCATGAAATTTACATATAAGATGCTTGCAAATAATGCAATATTTAAAAATAGGTACTTAATATGATGGGACACCCAACTATTTGGTTCTTTTGTTGTAATGTTAGGTTTATAATGCCCACAAATTAATACAATATAGGAATAATTTGCTTTCCAAGTAATGTTAAATACAATACTGACATTTTTTTGTTTAATGTTTGTTTAATAAAAATGTGGTTACGATTAACTTTACATTTATCTAATGTGCGTGGATTAAAAAGTAACATCTATGAAAAAGTAGCTAAAATTGTAGCTGTAGCTACATTTCAATGTAGGCCTAGCTGTAGTTGTAGCTAACTACTTTTTTGAAAATGTAGCAGTAGTTGTACTAGTTGTAGCTAGCTACATTTTAAAAGTAGCTTCCCCAATACTGTTAATTCCTACAATGGATTCTGATTAGGCTACTTATTGTAAGAAAAAGTTAAAATACAGTAGTTACTTGCATTGTTTTGTTTGAACTTAAAATATCACTTCAACAGGCGTGCACAACACAATGTGAGGATATCCACTTACTTGAGATAGTGACATCTCAAATATAGGCATACACAATCTACCGAACATCACGAACAATTTGTAAGCTACACAATTAAGTTACATAATTAAAGCCACGGATACTTACACTGAACAATAATGCGTTTAACTTTTAGCGATTAAAAGAACGCACTATGCTAGAATACTATGAAAGCGTTGGTTATGAAAAGCAATAAATAGCGCATTAGCAGCCGTTGGCAAAACACCACGTGTTGACTTTGGTAATTATCAATTTAATGCATTATTTAAATTTGGCCTCAAGAAAATATTAAATTACCATAAATTTCTATTGCTGGCCTACCCCCTTGGTACGATTTCATTTTTTTCTTTTGAAATATGTTTATTACATTGTTATGAACTAGAAAACAAGTCGTTTATGTTCTAAGACTCATTTATAGTTGAAATATGTCACTTTGATTTTCACTGGTGTGACCTCGGTTCCATAAGAACCCAACTTACTAAAAATCGATTTTTTTCGTTTGTACATATTAGTTACTTCTTCATAAAAAATATCTAACACCTTTTCGATAAAATTATCAGTAATTACCAATTTAATGCATTATTTAAAATGTCCCTCAAAAAATAATAAATTAGGCTACCATAAACTTCTAATGCTAGCCTATCCCCTTGACATGATTTTCTTTTTTTTCTTTTGAAATATGTTAATTACATTGTTATAAACTTAAAAACATGGCGCTTATGTCCGTCTACTCATTTATAGTTGAGATAAGTCATATTGAATTTAACTGGAAATTTTGAACTTTGAATTTTTTTGAGCGGGGGTGGTTTGACTTTGAATCCGTAAAAACCCAAGTTACTTAATATACAAGAATCCAATGTCATTCGGTTCCATGATTAATTTTATGGATAATAATTAATTTATTTTAATAAATTTATTTTTACTATAGCTATGTTCTGTTGATTTAGGTGCTCGTCTGACTTCGGTTGCATGACGACGCTACATTAAACCAATTAATGTTGCATGACTTAGGCTAAACATGTATTTTTGTTGGTAATAAACTAAACCTAAAAAATTTTAGGGGATTTAAGTAATAATTTCTTCGATTTTATAGTGTTTTTTTAATTAAATGGAAATAAAAAATATATATAATAAATTTCTAAAAATACAATATAACACACAGAAAATATATCTACACTCCTGGTGGGACAGGCTCATTATGTTGAGCGGGTTGAGGGGGATGTCCCTGGCGAGGCATCACGTCAGGGGCTCGATGGGTTAAGTTCTGATGCTGGAGAATGATGTAGTGGTGCAGTGGGAGTTTTTGAGGGATTTGTTGAGGGGCTTGGGGGAGTAACAGGCTTGTTGATGTTGGTTGTATTGGGTGACGGGAAACTTGATTAAAAAAATGTGGATGGTACAATGGGAAAATGGTATTATGAGGCGGAATGAGGTATTGGAGTGAGGTTTGGTGGTTAAAATAATTGGGAGGAGGGAATATGCCAGGGTAGGAGTGTTGTGGTAGTACCGGGTGTCGTTGTGGTAGGCCTAGTGCGGAAGTTTGTTGAAGTAGTTGTTGTTGAGGTGGGGGTGGTGGCGGTTGTTGTTGAGGTGGGTGTGGTGGTGGTGGTTGTTAAGGTGGGGAGGTGGTGGTTGTTGAGCCGGGGGTGTTGGTGTGAGTGAAGGTAGTTGTGGTGGTGGTGTTGGTGGGATGGATGGTGATCGTCTGGGTCTCCTAGGTGGTCCCCTCGACCCCCGATTGCCTGAGCCCCTCCTGCACACCCCTAGTGCACCGTAGTCTAGATGGCTTGTTTTCATACATGTATTTCCTACATTCTCTTGTTTGGCGTACGTTTGTTTTTTAATGTCTAAACCGACATGGCAAGACCCATGTTAAGTTTTAAGTTTACCTTATGACATTGTAACGCAATACATGGAATTTTGAAATAAACCAACAAAAATACTATCCTAATATTCAGATAAGTAGCAGTTGATTAACAACTTACGCAGTAGGCCACCGACCAATCCATGGGACTCGGGCAGCGACGCCCCGCATCATTCTACAGAATTCGATGCTGGACCCACCCCTGCCCGAAGATGGGATCAACATGGTCAACCTGATGCTGAAATCCATATCAACCTGAAAATTTGTCTGTGTTACTCAAGGTCCCACTATAACATCATAAATCTGTCATGCAAATGTTCCAGACATGCTTCTGTTATCAGATGGTGATGTAGATGTCATTGAAGTGTCTTAAAAAAAAGACTACCAAAAAGGCTCGTGTAAATGAGATTTTAAAATATAGTTTGGTTGTACGTCCTTTGATCCTCATGAAATTTACATATAAGATGCTTGCAAATAATGCAATATTTAAAAATAGGTACTTAATATGATGGGACACCCAACTATTTGGTTCTTTTGTTGTAATGTTAGGTTTATAATGCCCACAAATTAATACAATATAGGAATAATTTGCTT